TATGAATTGACCTTGCCTAGGAGCTTTTTCTACATTGAAAATAACATTCTATAAATAGAGAAACATAATAAAAATAAAGTAACATTTAACACGCTCAGTTCAATCTGATTAAAAAACATATTCATAAACTAGAAAATAACAAAATTAATATTCCAAAATTTATTTATTTTTTAAATATCAATCTTAAGAAAATTACTTAAATCGAACTAGAGAATTTGAATTTTATGATTATTTGTTTGTAGTATAGCTCAAGACAGTTTCATATTTCAAAGTGATCTACAGATATGATAAATGTATACAAACCTAACAAAAAGTATTGGGTAACAATGATGTTTGCACAGATAACAGTAATATCATAACATACTTAACTAACAAAGTATTTTACATCGTAGGTTGCAGTGAGCGTATTATTATAATTCATTAACAAGCATATTATTTAATAAAATAATTTTATTAGCTAGCATTTAAAACTGATAGAGAAGATGTTTAAAAAAATTGAAAATGTTCAAAAGTTCCGTTATTATACATATGCTATATAAAATATTTTAACTAAATTTTTGTTTAATATGTTTTCATTAACAAGTAAAACATTTGTTTTATTAGGGTATCATGTAATTGATATCAAGTTTTAAGTTATTTTTTTATTCATTAAAATAACGTATTCCAGTGTACTAACCTTTTGAAAACAAAATATAGAATGACCTCGGTGATTTTGAAACTATTAAAAATGATAATACCTACGCCGATTCACTGATAAATTAATGGTAATTTGTTTATGGCGTTAAACTGTTTGGTTTAGGAAGGTCAGAACAGCAACAAACTTCAACGTTGAACTACGACAGAAAAACCGAAATTCGCAATATACGGAAAGCCTACACGAAAAGCGTTATGTGTAGGTATAATTTCAAAGCATTAAACACTCAACGTTGTTCTATTTTCTCACAATGCTAAATTGTTGGCAAACGTATGCGCGTGTATTCTTGGATAAGACTCGACGGTTATTCAAACTCGAGTACAATTTTAACGAGTATACATTACAGTGTCCAAAGACCAATGAGTAGGTCGACGGTTATTAACTCCTATTAAAGTTCCTATTCCCATGCTGTTAATTAAGAAATGNCTCGAGTACAATTTTAACGAGTATACATTACAGTGTCCAAAGACCAATGAGTAGGTCGACGGTTATTAACTCCTATTAAAGTTCCTATTCCCATGCTGTTAATTAAGAAATGGCCGTTACTTTTGTATTCGATATAATATAAGTACATTTACTCATCATTCATCAACGACAAATTATCAGTTTTATACTGTTCAGTATTATGGAACCAACAAGAATTATGGCTCCTGTGTTATAAACATGGATGTCAGTATAGAATAACAGCGAAGTAACTAAAAGTAGGGAGAACTACATAATAAGAAAACGATCAGAGTAATGTTGGCGTTAAAGTTCAAGCAGCAATACAAATAAAAAAACAATTATAAAATGTGAGGGAAATGTAAATCCATTGTTTTGAACAAGCCCCCCAGTGTCACGCAGTACAAAATTATTTATCTGACAGCTACATTACATGACACATAATAAACTATCAAGTTACAGTATTTTATATTATATTAGTAGAGATTTATGTCGGAGGTATTTGTAACTTGTACCGGGTCATAACCCTTTCAAAACGACACATATATAGAAACACATAAAAACACTTATAATCCCTTATTTTATTGATAATTCACCTTTCCTTCTAACTTGATAAAGGTCGGTTAATCAAGGGAAATAAAGCACCCATTGACATCCCTGTATGCACACGCATGTATGAATATACTTGGAAATAATCGCAAAGAGAAATAATTATTTTTTTAATGAAACAATGTAACTGATTAATGTATCATGAAATGTTATATTATTGTTTAGAACCTTTGCACAAATATTTAGAAATATTCGAGTTTCAAACCCAACTGACATCCATGTTTATAACACAGGAGCCATAATTCTTGTTGGTTCCATAATACTGAACAGTATAAATCTGATAATTTGTCGTTGATAAATGATGAGTAAATGTACTTATATTATATNTAATATCTTAAAGTGTCAATTTTGACTGGTTGGTTAAAGAAATTATACATAATCACGTTATATGGTATTCGTGAACTGGCTTCGCCGTTTCGTTGCCTCTTAGTTAGGACATTAGAAACTAACAAAAGTTTATTACACCTCGAACGGAGGTACTGCGTTATTATTTTTATATCTACTTGTCTTTGTCGTTCTAAACCCTCAAACCATACGACCCATATAGAACCACAACATCAGGTTCTCTCCTTGTAAAAAAACCCAAGTCCCCATCATTACTATTTCTATTTTTATTTTATTAATTTTTGCTTATTTTTGAATTATAACAAAGTGGCGCCCAATAACAGGCTTAGTTAATCTTACTAAGGGTTATTTTGAATATTACTCAGAAAAAGCATTTGAATTGTAATTTTTAAATTATTAATTACAGTATTAATATGAAAAATTGGTTGAGAATTGTTTCTTTATCAATTAAAAAATTTAATTAAATCGCGCTTATTATATGAAAATTTATATTACTTAATTATTGAAAATTAAAATTGCGTATGTTGAAATTAAATTGAATTTAAAAATTAAATTGCGCTTATTTGTTTGAATCGAAATTATTAAAAATAAAATCGCGCTTATTGGAATTATTTATTTATTGAAGATTATATTGCACATAAATTAAATTAAAATTATATCTTAAAAAAGTAAAAATTGAAATTATTATTTGTAATTGAATTATTGAGCGTATTTTTATATCTATTTATTTCTATATGTTATTTGTATTATAACACAATGATGATTTTCACGGGTACTTATTTATTAATTTTAAATGTAGTCATAACATTGTTATACTTTAAATAACGTCCCCACTAAATATGGCCCTGGGTGGTCCACGATGTTTTGAAAAATCTAATTACTTTTGATTAAGCAAATACTATGTGTTACTTTTTACAGATTTGGACTATGTTAAAAGCATATTTATTATTATTTGTTCTAATAAAAAAAATTAAAATACATTTTTTTCTCTGGATCAATAGATATTAGATACTAAAATCAATTTTACATAAAATTATTTAAGAGTTTTATTTTATTTTAAACATTTTATTTTACCAAATATGAATC